TTGAGGTATGTTTCATGTCTTTTGTCTTTAAAATAAAGAGGAAGTTTTCAAGGAAGTCATGTAGAACTGGAATATTCATTAGATGGGACTACTATTACCTCTCAGCCATTTCAGAGGAGACAGAACATGTCTGTTTTTAGGAGAAAAATGAATAAAAAGTTTTCATTTTTTCCTAAATTTCTGATTTTTATATTTAGAAAACCCCTAGAATCAATCTGTTCTTAATAACATTTACATAATTATTTTATTATAATATATACTATATATGCATATATTCTATATATGTATTATGTGTGCATAAGTATATATATTATTATATGCATTCATATATACATATATACATATATTTATGCATATACACATTCTATTACATATGGATGTATATGAATTTTCAACCCTGTATATATGCACCTTTTTCTATATAGAATTCTGACTCCGTATATATCTAACCACATATATATATATATTTAACTTACTCTATATAACCTACTGTATGTATATATACACATGCACATCATTTATATTTATGTATATAACAAAATACTAAGGTCACTATTACTACTACTAAGTTAGTTATTAATTGCATAGTAATTTACATTATACATGTAAATGATTTTTTCACCTTATTTTTTAATTTAGTTTACTTCAGTATTATTCTGTATTAGTTTCAGGTGTAGAGCATAGTGGTCAGGCAATCACATACTTTGCAAAGTGTTCCCCTGATATTTGAAGTACCCCCCGGGCACCATACATTGTTATTACAATTTCATCGACTATATTTCTTATGCTTTACCTTACATTCCTGTGGTCATTTTGTAACTACTAATCTGTACTTCCTAATCCCTTCACCTCTTTCACCCAGCCCCCCAAGCTCCCTCCCCTCTGGCAAACTTCAATCTATTCTAACAGACTGTATCTATGAGTCTGTTTCTGTTATGCTGGTTTGTTTGTTTGTTTATCTTTAGATTCCACATATAAGTGAAATCATATGGTATTGGTCTTTTTCCCCTGACTTATTTCACTTAGCGTAATACCCTCTAGCTTCATTCATGCTGTTGTAAATGGTAAGATTCCATTCTTTTTTATGGCTAAGTAATATTTCATTGTATACATGCACAACTACTTTTTTAACCACTTGTCTATTGATGGCACTTGAGTTTCTTCCAGATCTTGGCTATTGTAAATAACACTGCAATAAACATAAGGGTACATATGTCCTTCCAAATTAGTACATATTTCTCCGAATATATACCCAGAGGTGAAATTTCTGGGCATAGGCCTTTTAATTTTTAATTTTGGAGGACCCTCCATTATATCTGATTGTGGTTTTAATTTACATTTCCCTGATGATTAGTAATATTTTCATACATTTTTGGGCCAGCTGTATGTACTCTTTGGGTAAGTGTCTATTCAGGTTCTCTGTCCTCTGCCCATTTTTTAATTTTATTTTTTCTTTTTGGTATTGAGTTGCATGAGTTCTTGATAAAGTTTGGATATTAACCCCTTATCGAATATATTATTGGCCAATATTTTCTTCCATTTAGTAGGTTGTCTTTTTGTTTTATTGATGTTTCCTTTTGCTGTGTAAAACTTTTTAATTTGATGTAATCCCATTTGTTTATTTTTTCCTTTTGTTTCCCTTGCCAGACAATATATATTAGAAAAAAATACTGTTAAGAGAGAAATATGAGAGATTTTACTGCCTATGTTTTCTTTCAAGAGTTTTAGGATTTTGAGTCTTACATTTAAGTCTTTAATCCATTCTGAGTTTATTCTTGTATATGTTGTAAGAAGGTGTTCTAGCTTTATTTTTTTGCACATACTGTCCAATTTTCTCAACACCATTTATTGAATAGATTATCTTTACCCATTGTATGTTCTTCCCTCCTTTGTCATATACAGGGCTGGGCAAAAGTAGGTTTACAGTTGTAATACAAATAAATAATACAATAATTAATAAATAATAATACAAGAATAAACTGTGTTTTGCATACTAACAACTGTAAAACTACGTTTGCCACCCCAGTATTAATTGACCATATAGGCATGGGTTTATATCTGGGCTCTCTATTCTATTCCACTGATTTCTGTGACTGATTTTGGGCTAGAAACTTGCTGTTTTGATTATTTTAGCCTTGTAGTATACTGTTTTACAGTTAGGGTGGTTCCTCCAACTTTGTTCTTCTTTCTCAAGACTGCTGTGGCTATTCTGTGCCTTTTGTGGTTCCACATAAATTTTTGGATTATTTGTTTTAGTTCTGCAAAAAACACCATTGGTGCATAGGATTTGCTCCTGTTTTTCTCAACTATGGGTCCTGTTCTAGCACAGTGTCTGACACATAACAAGTGCTCAATAAATATTTATAGAAGGATTTGTTATTCATAAATGCATTCGATCTAGTGGTTTGCAAGCCTTGTTGCATTTTGAAATCATCTGGAAAGCTTGTATTTATTTACTTTACCTGTATCTGTGTTTGGGTCCCATTCCAGACAATTAATTCAGAATAGCTGGGAGATGGGCTCAGGCACTGCCACTGGTGAAGCTGTCTGAGTGACTCAAATGCACGAGGCTTGGATGAGAAATTGTTATCTGATATCTCCTAGCGTCTGTGCTTATTTCTTACTGAGAGCCATGCCTGGGCCTGGTGAATGGAGGGGAGGCTGTCATTCCTGGGAGCTATGCTAAGACATGAGCTGTAAGCTATTGCATCCAAACTCTATGACCGTGTCTCCTGCAGGGCCTTCCTAGTTTAGACTCTGGTTGGGAGAAGAAAGAGAAGCTCTGCATACACTGTGACGACCTTGGGCTCAGGCCCCCAGACTCTCCTGTCATCAGGACAATTGTAATAAACTGGATCAGAGACACTTGTGCCTGTTAATATTTGTTTATTATGGGAGGAGCTGGGCTATGATCAGGCTCGCAGATTCCCCAGAACCTGCTGAGGAACTACAAGGCGGTGATAATGTTCTAACACTACACATTTGGGTGGGATGAGACAAATTCTGGCTCTAGATGCCCTGTTGGAGATGGCATCAAAATCTACCAACATGAGCCCTGGCAGGGGTGCTCAGTTGGTTAAAGTACACCAAGGTTATGGGTTCAATCTCTGGTCAGTGTACATACAAGAATCAACCAATGAATGCATAAATAAGTGGAATGACATATCTCTCTCTCTTTCTCTCACTTTCTCTCTCCCTCTCTCTCTCAAATCAATCAATAAATAAAACGTTTTTAAAAAATCTGCCAACCAGTGGTTTTTCCTGAAATGACAAGTGGAATTCCCTGTTCCAGAGAAATTCTTGACCCTGCAGAGATGGAACTTTTTCTAAACGCAAGTCTGGTCTCATTCTATACATAATACTGCAAGGCAGGACCCATTGGTCCACTTTACAGATTGAGACCTGAGGTGGGGAGCAGGAAGGGGCATGCAGCCAGCACTGGAACCCTGGCCGATAGTTTCCAGGCCTCTTCATTTTTTATTTTATTTATTTTTACCTGAGTTAGTGAATTAGTTTGCTGATGTGGTTGTAAGGAGCAAAACCTCTTACGCAGATAACTAAGATTTGAATCCAAGCATTTCCCTCTCTTAACTCTGATTTTAGGCAAGTTATGAAATTTCTCTGAGATCAAGAACTCTGCCTGAAGGTAAAAAGTAATAATGTTTACTTATTGTGTCTTTGTGAAGACTGTGTGCCTTAACACAGATAAAACACCTTATAAGGGTTTTGTACAGAGTATTCAGCAAAAGACAGTGTTAGGAAAAGATCATTATTAATACTTTTCTGCTGGGTCTATAATTGGCCAGTCTTTTTTCTTTAAAATAATATTCTTAAATTCCTGCCTCAACAAAGCCATAAACTTGCTAACTTCTAAATTATTGATCCCATTAAATAAAAAACCTATGAAACATGGTATGAAACAAACAACAAATATAAAAATTAAAAAATGCAAATCAATATCACAATTGATAAAGATTCTAAGTTATCAATTAAAATGTTAGCAGTTTAAATCATTCTACACTCTACAAAAGCAATGTCAATAATGGAATAACCAATTAGAAATTATACCAGAATGCAAAGATAGTTCAACATTGGAAAACTTACTAATGTGATCAGCCTCATTTATCATGTCAAAATATAGCTAAGAGTAATTAGTATAACTTCTAATAGATCAGTGCACCTACTGAAATTGCATACAAAATTATTTCTCAACACAGCAATGAGTTTATAACATTCCTTAGATATACAAATGTGAAATATTAAAAAATTAAAAATTTAAAAAATCAACTATATAATTATATATATATGTAAAAGTAAAAGCCAATATCAAAATCTGATTTAAAATATGTGTGTTTTACATCTAACATCATATTTTTAAAAGAAATTTCACATAAGAGACTAGTTAAGGGGTGTCTGCTCTTATTTTTGTCACACATTGTAGGTACACACTCAGCATTTAACTGTGGGTATCTCTAGCTGGTAGGATTTTATATATATATATATATATATGTGTGTGTGTGTGTGTGTGTGTGTACATATATATGTGTGTGTGTGTATATATATATTCTTACTTTTACTCAATAGCATTTAACATTTTTTAAAAAACAACATTATTTTTATTGTAAAAATTAAACTAATCATAAGAAAGTCTTGGTTGATTTCATTCATATTTATTATAAGCATGCTATAGTAATAATAATATATTTTGGTAGCTATTTCTGTAACACACATGGAAACATTAAAAATAAAGCAAGGTTTTTTAATACTTTCTCAAAGGCCTCTCATGATAATCAAGGAGGAATATGTGGGTTGGGGGAACAAGAATCAGCATAACTGGAATATCCATTTTGTGCTGGGAGACGTGCTTCATCCCACTGTGGCCCCTCTCCCGCTGAGCACTGCTCTTGTCCAGGATCTCTGCATGGAGGTGTGCTTTCCTCCATGTACCCAGGGCATGCTTGCTGAGCACTGTGCTTTAGAAAATCAGTCACCCTACTCACCAACTCTCCGGTTGAGCTGAGCTGGGCTGTGCGTTCCAGTGAGGTCTGAGGAACTGGAAAATGCCATTGGAGAAAGCAGGGAAGCTAGTGGGTCATCACAGTTGTCTGAAACAACAGGAGAGAAAGAGCAACTGCTATTAGCGAGATGGCATTGCTCATCACTTACTAACACCTGCTCTGAACAAGGCCAACACTCCTTGTTTCCATGTGCTATTTCACCTTCTCCTCACAACAACCTTGAGGAACATTCATGGATTTCCTTAACAGGCAGGGAAACTGAAGTTCAGAGATGTTATTTTGTCCAAGATCACAAGGCTAGAAAATAGCGTGGCCAGAATGCTCACCCAGATTTGCCTCACTGAAAAGCCAAACTTTCCACCCATTCCTTGAATCACTGCTTGAGCAAAGCCTCAAGTTGCAGCTATTGAGCTTATTCCATAAGAAGGAAGAATATTAAAGGGAGAAACATTGTCGAGCTACTCTCGATATTCAGGCCCTAAAGCCCCTTGTAATAATTGTATCTAGAGGGACAGAATAATTAAGAATATCTCACTCCCAGTTGTGTGAAAGTCTTTGAAAATTGAGTTTCTAGTTTTAATAATTTATTTCTGTTGCACAAAGTAATAGAGAATGGTCCTGGTCCTATACAATCTTTAATGTGATATCCATTTCAGTAAGCACCCTTCCAGCCTCCTCTAATTTTGGTAAGTATGCTTTCTACAGTGTCTTTGATGCAGCCACAATGGGAAGGTGTGTTCTTGACAACACAGCTGTGTTCTGCCAGATTGACTCTTATGCCCTGACCACCCACTCATGTAGAGAATGCTGCTCTACATAGCATACTGGTCATCTAAAGTTAAGTAGTTTTTTATCCACTTGTGCATATCTTCCAACAAGTGGCTTGCTCTTTGTGGAGCCTTAGCAAAGTATCTGGTACACATAGGCTTTTCATAAAGTCTTACTGAAAGAATGATATGGTGAGTGAAGGAAGAAAGGCACTCACATAACAGTGCAAAACTTCCTTCCTGAAATCTAGACATACTTTAGCCAAAACAAATTCGAAATGTGTTATTCAGTTTAAAGGTAAATTTCATGGCATTAAAGGCTCTCATAAAGAATTGATTTGGCATTTTTAAATAAAAGGCACATAGCATTATGAGGCTGATTGTCCAGAAAATTCTGAGGGAGTGGTATTTCATCTAATTGCAGGAAAATTAGTGAGAAACATAAGGATTAATTTGTCTGTTTGTTAAATGTGTTTAAAAAATCAACTGGCAAAGCATATTTGGAGTTTTTCCCCAACACAAATATTTGAAAAATATTTTGAGGTCTTTGACAAACACAAGACAGAGCCAGATCCTCACCAAGGAGAGAGGGGGAAACCGCAACAAGGGCCTCAGCAGACAGGGCCATTCCTGAACAGAGAGGGAAGCCGGGCACTTCTCTCTGGGCCTAAAGGCAGCTGAGGGAAGCCCCCCCCCCC